ACAAGCACAAAATGGTTACAAGGATTGGTCCCAGTGACCGGGCCTGGGCTGAAAGAGTTAACATTCTCCCAAAGTGAAATAACTTTATTTTTAGTTTCAGGTAAGATATTTTGATTCAGAGAGAATTTAGTATCTACAAAATAAAATTAGTTGAGATTTATTAGAGTAAGAAAATATGTTTGTTTTTATTAATTGGTAAAAAGTATACTAGTATCCTTGAACATATGTTATATAACACTATTGTAAGGAATTTCTAGTTGTGATAAATGTAAAAAGTAATTTAAAAAAGCACCATTTACAAAAGAAACCAAAAAATAATCACAACATTAAATTGATTCAAAGTTTACAAGTTTTAAATAACACACACATGCGCAAAAAAGACTTACTTTCTTTCATTTCTCTTTTCCTTATCTTTACGTTTTTCTTTACTTCTTGATTTGTCTTTATCTTTTCCCTTATCACGTCGATGTCTTTGCTCATGCTCTTTACTCCTGCTTCGACTTCTTTTCCGTTTCTCCCTGCTACGTGAACGTGAACGTCTGTGTCTTTCTCTGCTTCTGGATCGAGACCTATTTAAACATTTCCAATACAGTAGTCAATTTTAACCATTACAATACTTTGTAAATTCTTTTGTCACATAAAACATTAAAGCTAATGTCAGTGGATGGGAATAATTGTAACAGTGTCATGGAAGAGATGGATCTTGGTTTAATAGTTGATCAGTCTCTTAAGCCATCCAAGCAGTGTGCTGTTGCTAGTGGTAAGGCAAATAGGACTTTAGGTTGTAGCTAGAGAAATATTGAATTCAAGTTTAAAGTGGTTATAATTTCATAGTATAGGTCACTAGTTAGGCCACATTTGGAGTACTGTGTTCAGTCTTGGACTCCTTACCTTAGGAAAGACATTAAACTGTTGGAAAGGGTTAAGAGGAGAGTTACTAGAATGGTGCCTGGAATGGAGGGGTGGTCATACGAGGAGAGATTGAAATTGTTTTCTATAAAATAAAATTATTTTATTGTAGTAAGAAAACATGTTTGTTTTTATTAATGGGTAAAAAAGTGTGGAAGTATCTTTGAACAAGTATTATATAATACTACAGTAAGGGGATCTGATTGAGGTGTTTAAGATTGTAAAAGGAATTAATAGTGTTGATGCACCATCTTTTTATGTACTTAATAGTGAGAACAGTAAGACTAGAGGACACAAACTTAAATTTGGGCAGGGTAGGAGTCATCTTCAGCTCAGACAGTTTGATTTTTCTATCAGGGTGGTTGGCCTTTGGAATGGGTTGTTTTGGAGGCAGTAAATTTATGTTAGTTTAAGATAAAACTGGCTTTACATTTTTTTTAAAATTGATTTATTAATAGTTTTAGTTTAGGTTAGAAGATAGGACAGCTGAGATGGAACAATAGGTCCAATATTGTCCAAAACATTATGTTAAAAGTATAAACAACTGTATTAGTCTTGTTTCTATGGGATGAGAAACATAACTGATTTTTCAAGCTTTATGTTAAAGTTAGCATTTAACATCCTTAATTAATATCACAAAAGTATACAAAATGCTATTATCCAAAAGAAATTTTCTAAATATTTTTTACATAAGAGCAAACACATATTTGGCTGAAACTCAAAGTCTGAATAGAAAATAATAAAAAATTTAAAACCAAAACAATATTCTAAATAATTTCAAGTCCAGCAAGCAACAGTTTTTTGAAACTAATAGCAGCAGCATTCAGTCTAAAGTAAAACTTACAGGGATTTTCCCAAACTAGAAAGCTATAATTTACAAAATGTATGTGCAAAGATACTCATAAAAAATTTTTGAATGCATAAGCAATAATAGATATATCAAGAAGCTTATCAACTGATTCAAGGAAGTAAAAGTTTGGAGATGGCTTGAATGGGTAGTGAAGAAAACTTTATCATAAATGGACAATATTTCGACAAGATTATCTTGTCAAAATGTTGTACATTTAAAAGTTTTCCTAATTACCCATTCAAGCTGTCTCCAAACTTTTATTTTCTAAAAAGTGGTTACCTCATCATCAAATTTGTTTCAAGGAAGGTTTATTAGATATTGGTGCTCCAAAATGGAAAATATATAATAAAATAAAACATTGGCTTCCATTTTGTCACATAAAACAAAATTCTATTTTTAGGAATATAAACAAAGATTACCGCTAAAGCATTGTTAAGTGTATTTTTGATCTTTAAAATACACATTCAATTAATAAAGCTGCATTATT